CGGAATTAGTGAAAGCCAGGGAAAGTGAGGTGGGCCTGAGTAAGATGGGGCAGAACAGAGGGTGTGTTCCAGATAGAACTCACCAGGAGCCCAGGATGCTCAGGGCAGGTGCACTGCCATAGTTAGGCCTGAACTCCTGGCTTCTAGAACCTGAACCACATAGTACATGGAAGTGCTGTATGTGTTAAATGAAAAGGTCTCCAAGGAAATGGTTAGAGGCATAGTTAGGCCTGAACTCCTGGCTTCTAGAACCTGAACCACATAGTACCTGGAAGTGCTGTATGTGTTAAATGAAAAGGTCTCCAAGGAAATGGTTAGAGGTCAGAGTAAAGCCAACAGGGTAGACCTTATGTCAACTTGGGGCAAAAAAGAAAAGAATAGTGTGCACACATGCATGTACACAGACATATTTTATTCACCTGTTTAAATAAACTCTGGAAGAATAGACATGAAACAATAAAGTAACCAACAATTTTTATGCATGTATGTTGGAACACGGTAAGTCTATAATGTTTCCTTTCTATTGTGGAACCACACAAAATTATTTAAAAATTATGTTATAAATTGAACAATAAGAAAAAGATAAAGTTTTTTATATAAATGAGTATCTCTGTAAGATCACAGCCAGCCTGGTCTACACAGCAAATTCCAGGCAAGCTGGGGCTATGGGAATCCCTGTCTCAAAAAGACAAAAAAAAGAGGAAAAAAAAAAAAAAGAAAGAAAAACCGACTAACCAAACAAAAATAAACTATCAGACTAAAGCAGGTGGGACAAATCAAGTTGTTCTTATTCAGAGTTACAGGGTTTTGACTCAGGATGAAAACTGAAATAAAATCAGACCAAGGAAGGAAACTTCTCCTTTTTTTTAGCAATCCAGTGAGAGGGCTCTGAAAGGTCAGTTCCCCGGATGGGCAGGAGTGGACATAGCAGGTGATGACGTGGGCACAGCACCCTAAATTACCTCCTAAATTAAAGGACAAAATCCAGCCGAACCACCTCTCCCAGTGGGCACACAGTACAAAGCATCAGAGCGTCTGAGAAACCGACTAATGTGTGAAGCTCTGCTCCCCTCCCCCTCCCTCCTTCCTCCTTTCTTTATTGCAGAATCCTGAGATTACTGTAAACCAAAGAAATATACTTAATGCTTAATATCTTACTACGTCTTCTAAAATAGTCTTTAAAAAACACAACATAAGCCGGGCGTCGTAGCACACGCCTTTAAATCCCAGCACTCCGGAGGCAGAGGCAGGTGGATCTCTGTGAGTTGAAGGCCACCCTGGTCTACATAGTGAGTTCCAGGACAGCTGGGGCTACAGAGAGACCCTGTCTCAAAAAGACCAAAAAAAAAAAAAACCACACACACACACACGCACACACACACAACATCACAACATAGCCAGGCTTGGTGGTTTACACCTGTAATCTCAATGTTCAGGAAATTGAGGCAGGAGGATGGCCTTGTCTGAGGCCAGCCTGGCCTGCAGTTTGAGACTGTCTTAAAAACAAAAACAAAAACCAGCCAGGTATGACAGAAATAGGAGGATCAGGAGTTCAAGGTAAACCTTGGCTACATAGCAAGTTTGAGACCCTGTCTCAAAGTACCACAAATCCTGCCTTTTATTGAAAAGCCAGGTTCCTGTTAATCAAAGATACGTAATAACATAGGTAGAGGTAGAGTGGATATCATTTGACTAATGGCTTTCCACAGTGTCAGGATAGATGTTTATGCTTTGAGCTGCTGCCTCCAAAAGGGAATGTTGCAGGACAAAGCCAGCGATTCAGTGACAGGAGCTGGAGCTTGGCCTCCTGGCAGCACACTGCTAGGTGTTCTCATGTACGGAGGGAGGAACAGATCCCTTGCTGTGGACCTCACAAGGCCAGTACTGTAGCACAGACGCATTGTATGTCTTCATTAGTCAGTGCTTGTATTTCATGGCTCAGGAGTTACAGGAAAAGCTGTGGCACAAGTTGTTACCTGGACTTTGCTTGCTCAGCATTGCTGATGAAATAATAAAGTCATTTTAGGTTCCTCAGTCGGCCTGTTAAGAAGAATTAATATTTTTGGGGTCATTATAGAACACACAGGTTGATTTTTTTTTTTTTTTTTTTAAGATCCTGTACAATTTCCTCCACATATAGACAAATCTGTTTTAGGGGCTTTGGTGTTCTTAGTGGATTGGGTTAGGAATACTTCAAATAGGTATGGATGGGTGTTTCTCTGTGTATTAGTCACTTTCTGGTTGCTGTGATAGAAACACCATCACCAAGGAAACTTATAAAAGGAAGAGTTTATTTAGCTTATGGTTCCAAAGGGGCAAGAGTCCATCATGGTGGGGAGGCATGGTGGCAGAGGTGACTGGAGGAGGAATAGAAGCTAAGCTCTCACATCT